GGGGGGGGGGGGGGAATAAATGAGAATTTTAACAACAGTCATTTATCCACTGCACACGCCACTGTATTATGCAAATTAACCTTTTGGGAAATTTAGATACAGAAGGGAACTAGACAGTTTCCCCCCTGGAGAGATGAAAAGCTTTTTGGCTCTTAAGTCTTTGATAAAAGGCATACATAATTCTTGTGCCAACTGTACAGAATACTGCCTCTAGCTGGATTTCTGAATTCTGAGTTGCTAACACTATGCAATCCAGACAGGGTTCAACCCTCCATCTTACACGCCTGCATTACAGGACTTAAACACATAATCCAAGAATTTCTTACACTAATTTATACATTTTTAATTGGTTGCATATATTAACATGTACTATAAGATTCTTTTCTAAGAAGCATTACATAATAAATGGATACTGTAAAAAGATCTGATTAGTTAAAAGTAACAAGCATTAACAGATACATACAAAACTCAGCCTGATCAGACTGGGTGTGAGCCTGTAATGAAGCATGGGGCACCAGCCTTCCCAAGTGATAGCCTTCACAAGAGGGGGGTGGGGATGGGGTAAAAAGATCACAAGACCGTTAAAAAAATCAGATAACTAATTAGACACAGATTAACTGTAAACAGTCCTCTCTCCCTGGTGGACAAAAATAATAAGCTTCTGATGTTGACTCTACACCAGAACAATTTCTACAGCTGGCCCATCCTGTTGCCACATGAGGGCTGACGCAGTGGGTGGGCAGACCCTGATGCAGCCACCACAGGCCTGGGCTGCTGGAGTCTGTCTGCTTGTGTCAGATCTGTGTGTGTGTGTTGTATGGAGGGGTGAGTGTGTTTGGTGGGGTTTCTTTTGGCAGCTGGATATGAGAGATTACTTTATGTTTTGTTTGAAAGAGGAGAGGGGGGTTTGTGTTGGAAGGCCTAAGTGTGTTCTTGGTTTGTGAAGGGCTCTGTGCTCTGCTCTCACTGCCCATTCAGCAACTGCAGCTTTCCGCCGAGGCTTTGGCCCGGTCGTTCTTGTCCAGTTTGATGGGTTCAGGAAATTCATTGTACAGCTCCACCTCTGTTTCCTGGGCAAGGAGAGAGACAGAAAGGTTTGTTACTCAGGGCACCAGGAAATTCCTGTGGCAAACTTCCACCTAGGCATAGTGGGAAGTGGGGACAGACCTAGCAGTGAAGGGAGGGCTGTGGCAGAAGGCATTCAACCCTCAAAGGCTGAGCAAGAAGAACAAAAGTTTTGTGATAATTCCAGAACAATATGAAGAGAGAAATTCAACAGGAAGAGCAGCAATTGACATTGAGAAGTCAGGACAGAAGCTGACTCATGCTTTGCATTAGATGGCAATCTGGTGGCTTGGAGACCACAGCCAGCTCACAGATGCTTTCAGTATGGTCCTCAAGAGTTACCAACACAAAAAGAAATCAGGCTACATGGCCTGGATTTTTGGCAACTCTTGGACAGCATTTTCACAAGGCAACTGGGAGCTGAAGCTGAGTGCTAGCTGCCTCTCAGTCCTAAAACATTCCTCCAGTTCCCTATTTGCCACTTATTTTTATGGAATTAGGGTCTATTTTCTTTTTCCCCCAAAGGTTTAGGAGAGTTTTGTTTCCAAATGCTGCATGTTTAAAAACCAGCTGTGGATGAATTTTATCACCATCTGTGGTAAAGAGAAGGACTGTATCAGTTTAGTGGGACTTTTGCTAAATTAACATTTTCCAATGAGGAGCAGGTTTCTACTTCCTGGTGCAGGAAAACAATTTGTCATTTAAGCACTGAGTACCAGGAACTGTTCTAGGATTTGGAGATTGAAGAAGGGAATGTTTCTATTCATTAAAAGTTTTTTCTCAGAAAAATTATTCCACTCACAAATAGCTATAAAAAACAACAAAAAACTCTTAGTAATAACATGTGTATATAATATATATATTTAAATATGTTTTTATTGAATTCAGAGAGAGGAAGAGAGAGGGAGAGAAAGATAGAAACATCAACGATAAGAGAGAGAGTTACTGATTGGCTGCCTCCTGCACAACCCCACTGGGGATTGACCGGGGCATGTGCCCTGCCTGGGAATTAAACTGTGACCTCCTGGTTTATAGGTTGATGTTCAACCACTGAGCCATGTCGACCGGACTAGTAATAATATTTTTAAAAATTAGCTTTCTATCTCCATCTGACACTCTCAACCCCTGCTAACCACCTATCTACTTTCTGTCTTAATAGATTTGCCTATTTTGGCCATTTCCTTTGATCAACATTTGTTTGGGCCACTTCCAATCTTTCGCTATTATGAATAATGCTGTTATGAACACCTGTGTACAAGTTTTTGTGTAAACCTGTTTTCATTTCTCTTGGGTATATACTTAGTAGTGGAATTGTTGGGTCATACGGTTGCTCTTATGTTTAACTTTTTAAGGAACTGCCAGTTTTCCAACCTAAAATAATAGCTGTTATGGACTTAATGTTTGTCTTTCTCCAAAATGAATATGCTGAAGTTCTAACACACAGTGTGATTGTATCTGGATTTAGAAAGTAATTAAGGTTAAAATGAAATCATAAGGGTGGGGCCCTGATCTGACAAGATTAGTGTATCCTTATAAAAGACGCCGGAGTTCTCTCTGTCTCTCAGTGTTTTCTCAGTCTTTCCCTACTATCCCCAATCTGTGCATGTTCACAGAGAGGAAAAACCAAGTGAGAACACAGGGAGATGGTGGCACTCTGCAAAAGATGAAGAGAAAAAGAATTTGCTAGCCTCCAAAACTGAGTGCAAATAATATTTTGTTGTTTAAGCTACCCAGTCTGTATTTTGTTATGGCTCCCAGATGATACTAATACAACAGCTATAATGCAATCCCAATCAGAATCTCAATAAGGTTTCCTTTTTGGGGAGGGTGAGGAAAGAAAAAGGTGGAACTAAAATAATATTCTTAGTCTTAGTCTAAATGGAAAATGCACCAAAAGAGCCAGTAGTAAAAAATATAAATAGGACTAGTAAGGGGAGAGTTGGTCAGATAGATCATACTATAAGGAAGTCAAATCAAGATGGTCCAAACAAGGAACACATAAGTCACTAGAACAGACTTAGAAGACTGGAAATAGATCCAAATATACATGACCATTTATTATAACAAAGGTAATGTTTCAACCTGGTGGGAAAAATAGTTTATTTAACAACGAGCTACTAATATTTGAAATAACTGGCTATCTCTCTGAAAAAAAAAAAAAAAAAGAGTCCCTATTTCCTGCCATAAGCCAAAATAAATTCCAGCTGAATTAGACAACATGTGACCTAGACATAGGAAACCCAGAAATTTAAAATGACATACCCGACTAAAAAATTACTTTTTTCTATGGCCAAAGGAGATATATATATATATATTATATAAAGATAGCAGAGTTGGAAAAATCACTTGCAATATAGGTGAAGTTAATTTCAGCTCATGAAGAGCTCATGAGAACAGACAGGTGCCCAGGCCAAGTGCCTATGTACTGGCTATCTGCAGCAGAGAAAACCCAAAGATTGGCAGAGTGTCAGCAGACTTACAGATAACTACCATTTGCTGAAAAGCAGGAAAGAGAAAGAAAACATGCACTGCTGGTGGCAACTAAAATATTACTGCCCTTGGGGAAAGCAATCTGATTATCATCTCTTAAAAATACATACCTTTCAATTTAATAATCTCACTCCTGAGAGGACAGCTTGTAGAAATGCAAGCATTATAATAAAGCTATAGAGACAGCAATATTCAAAGAGAAAAACTCCAACAGTGATGGTAGTCAACAGGGAACTGGTGGAAAACAACTCCCCACACATATTTATAGTTTTGCATGCAATTAGGAAAAACACTAGGTTATTAATCTAGGTGTGAGGGTAGGTTAAAGGCAGGGGGGGAAAGGGAGACAAAAAGGCCTTAAATCTGCATTCTGTGAGTTCCTTCTCAGTGTATCAGTGTTTCTCAGTAGGGGTCTACTGGCATTTTGGGTAGACCAATTCGTCATTGCGTAGGGCTGTCCCTTTTTATTATGGAACACTCAGTGCAGGCCCCAGTCCTTGGAATAACTCATTCCAAATTATCTCCCTGCCCACAGGTCCAGATGCCCTATCCTACTGAGAACCATTACCATCTATACACTGATTCCGGGAGCAAGCAGAACCCACCTGGCCCTTTATAACTACAAGGCGCTTCCTCAAATGTTCTCTGCATCCCTGATGTGTACCTCACCTCTGACACCCCCGCAATCCTTGTGTGTGACTACCACACATGACTGACAATGCTTCATGACTTGCCTTAACTCATTGGCCCTAATGGAGCTGCTAAATCAAAAAAGCCTTCAACTCCCACATGCCAACAAGTACCATTTTGTCTGTGAACAGGTGAGTGAACAACGTAAGAAAGAAAATGCAGGTAAATTTTATTTAAGGAATACAATTCCTAGAGCTTCTGGTTAACCTTTCTGATGACAAAAGTAAGTCCATCTCATTTAATCTGTACAACCACTGTGCAAAGCTGGTATTCTCGTTTTCCTGATGAGGGGATGGAAGCTCATGTATGATAAACTATCTAATGATAGCAGCAGAGCTGGGATTGAATTCAAGTTATCCCCTCTATAAAACAGAAGGAATAACCCCACCAGGGACCTCCTAGTGGCCTAATCTCCTCAGCAGGCAAAGACAGCAAGAACATGTCCAGTCAAACAAGAGTAGCCTCAGCCGGTCTTCACTGCCACCGCATCATCCAGATTATTCACAAACAAGTGGAATTTCTAGACGCTTTAGCAGAACGTGCCATTACCTTTCCAGATAAACATACAGTTTTTTCTGGCTACACGAAAGAGAGAGACAGCTAGGAAAGAAGATTAAGAATAAGGAAGCCAGGCAGGGGCTGGGTCAATGGTCAATCACCACAGGGAGCTAGACAGCTGCCAGAGACCCACCTGTTTAAGTGCATTCCGTGCAATCGTCTGGAATGCCTGCTCCACATTGATGGCCTCCTTGGCACTGGTCTCAAAGTAGGGAATGTTATTTTTGCTGTAGCACCAGGCCTGTGCTCGTTTCGTGGCCACCTGAAAGGGGAAGCAGGGCGCATGTGTGCTCATATTAGAAGCAGCTAGCACTGACTCAATCCTTCCCAGGATTACTGTCCCTAGTCTACAGGTAGTACAGGTGAGGAAACAGACGTCAGGCATTAGGATGTGCAGCAGGTACGGGATAGAGAGACCTGCTGGCTATGCATAGTATAGCTAGGATTCAAACCCAAAGCCCACTTTCTGTCTCGAACCCATGGCTTTTAACCCTTAGCTACATATAAAAGCAGCTTGTGAAGGAAATAAGAAGCCAGCCCAGGAAGAAATAAATGGTCTCTCCTGGGACCTCAGAGGTCCTAGCACAAGAAGTACCTGACAGCTTCGTCTTAAGGTTTGTAGTCCCTTACCCATTACCGCTAATGTTACGTCACCTGTGTCATACATCAAAGTGCCAAAAAATTCTGCAGCTCTCAGTGACACCTTTGCCTCTCATATCCTAATTCCTTCCCCTACCCCAGCCCACTTTCAGGTATAAGAGCAGAACTAAGTCACTTAGGAAAGGGAGGAAAAGAGATCAATGATCAGAAATAAACTTAGAGAAATGCTATTTGAAAGTAAGATCCAGGCAGGTCCTTGAGGTGTTGGGAGAGCATTTGAGAATGACAAAATCTAATTCCCTCTTTTCAAGTGCAGTAAGGGAACTGAGGCTCAGAGGCCAAAGGCAATAATCCAGTATAACAGCCAGCTGGGGCAGCATAGGGGTTTAAACCAGGTCTCCCGGGCCTTAAAGGCTACTGGTCTGAAGGTAGTTCACACACTCACATGCAAATACTGGAGCAATTCTGGGCTTAGCACAGAACCCTTCAAATTCATATGGTACCTTAGAAGCAGGTGTCTCTCACAGGAGAGGAAATCAACAATGGACAATTGGAAAGAGGCATCCAATCAATGACGACACTCTCATCATTGATGTTTCTGTCTCTCCCTATCCCTTCTCTCTCTGAAATCAATAAAGATATATTTTTAAAATACATTTTATATATATATATATATAAATGATTTTAGAAGGAGGAAGGGAGAGGGAGAGAGAGACAGAAACATCAATGATGAGAGTCATTGGTGGGCCGTCTCCCGCAGGCCCCCAACTGGGGGTCGAGCCCGCAACCCTGGGCATGTGCCCTGACCCAGAATCGAACTGCAATCTCCTGGATCCTGGGTCGACGCTCAGCCGCTGAGCCATGCCAGCCTGGTGCAATTATGCCTTTAAATCCGAAAGACCAAAATGCAAGATACCACTGGCCTCAAGTCAAATTGTTTCACTGGAACAGACCACGAGGAGTGGCCAGCACAGGTAGCACCACAGAATGGACTTGCTGCTTTGCTGGCGTGACTTTAAAGGGAATACTACTGCAGAATTCACTGTTCCTGTTTTACCACAGGGGAAGCCACAATGGTATGCCTTTACCAAGTTAGAGAGCAAGACTCCATTCCAAGGCCTGAGCATGTAACTCATTAGTTATGCCTTCCTCCACCTCCACTATGGGGCACACAGAGACTGTGTGTGTATACTGGTCCTTGAGGCATGTGGCATTATACCAATCAAAGCTAAAAATAGCACCTGTCATCACAAACTTAGCTGTCACTTTTAAAAGAAGGCCTTTTCTATGATCCAATAGCCATAACCTACATGATGGTAGGTTTATAAGTCTCCACATTTAGATTCCCACCATCTTTGGCACTTACTTGTCTGTTTTCAAGGTCAATCTTATTTCCCAACACCACGAAAGGAAAGTTTTCAGGATCCCGAGGACTGGCCTGGATGAGAAACTCATCTCTCCAACTGTCAAGGGTTTTGAACGTGTTGGGGGCAGTGACGTCAAATACCAGAACGCAGCAGTCTGCACCTCTATAGAATGCCACACCAAGAGACTGGAACCGTTCCTGTCCAGCTGTGTCCCAGATCTGTGAGAGACAAAACATTATTCTTTGGGGTTAAGAGCACTAAGAATGAGGAGATACCAGAGGAAAACGAGAAGGATTATGGGGCTACCCAGAAACAAATGACTTCAGAATTCAGGAAACAGATTTCACCACCAGAGTATCCAAAACAACCCTGACAAACAGCACATGTGTGAATACATGTGTCTATGAGGGGTAACACTGGAGTTTGAACTCTGGGGTCCTAGAAATTTTTCTTATCTTAATCCAGGTGGTAGTCACATTGATAAATATTTATGTAAAATTTACACTATAAACTTAACATTTATGTACTCTGGGAACTTTTTTTGGGGGGGTGATAGAAATATAGGGAGGTAATTTGTTACTGAATTATATATATAAATCTATGCATTTTACTGCATATAGTTTACCTGAAAAAAAAAAATCAGTATGTTTAATAACAAAGCAAAGAAAAAACCCTGACAAAGAGATAAAGAAAGACAAGAACACATTCTAGAGTATACATGAAAGTCAGCTTTTAATCAAAGTAACACCAGGTACTAGTGACCAGCTCAAAGAACTTCGCATCATTCACTGCCATTCTAGGTTCAAGGATGGATTTCCTCACTGACCTGGATCTCTTAACAGGGCTACCCTGGTCAGCCTGGAAAGATGACTAGTGTTCTGAGGAATGGTCTGACTCCCCCCAACAAGCCACCTGGTTTAAGAGAGTGCCTGGGTCAGAAGCAGCATGCAGTCACTTCCAGTTGACATGGGTCTTCAACTTTTGGATCAACAGTCTGTTTTGCAGGAAAAACACTTAGGAAAACATGAAAACTTGGACCATCCTCATAACCCAAATAAATTCTAACTTTATGTCCAAATCACCAGCCAACGTCCCCAAAGGCCCAGGGTTCAGACCAAAATGGAGGATGGAGTATGTAGGCCACTACAATTTTATATCCAGACCCAGATTTTGCAAAAGGATGGTTGAGCTCTTCTGTGAAGCCCTTCTCAGGCAGTCAATACTGCCTCCCTGTGATCCAGAACACTCGGGGAACATGTCAATTACAACGTGTGCTTTCTTTCTCTATTTTATTTTAATTAATTAATTTTTAATCCTCACCCAAGGATACTTTTCCATTGCTTTTCAGAGAGTAGAAGAGAGGGAGGAGAGGGAGAGAGAGAGAGAAACATCAATGTGAGAGAGACACATTAACTGGTCACCTCCCACTCATGGGCTGACTGGCAGGGATCGATCCTGCAACCCAGGTATGTGCCCTTGACCAGAACAGAACCAGAGACCCTTCAGTTCACGGGCCGACACTCTAATCACTGAGCAAAACCAGCTAGGGCTCTATTTTAAAAGCCTAAGGTAAAAAAAGCTCTCTTATTTTCATTTTTAAAGTTTTCATTTTGGCCCTGGCCAGTTTGGCTCAGTGGTACAGCATCAGCCCAAGGACTAAAGGGTCCGGGTTTGATTCCAGCCAAAGGCACATACCTTGGTCAATCCCCAGCCTGGGTCGGGGCGAGTGCGGGAGGCAACCAATCTATGTCTCTCTCTCACATCATGTTTCTTTCCCTTTCTCTTTCTCTCTCCCTCCCTTCCACTCTCTCTGAAAAGCAGTGAAAAAACAAATCCTCTGGTGAGGATTAAAATAAATAAATAAATACATACATACATACATACATACATACATAAAAGTTTTCATTTTGTATCTTTGCCATCCAGGTCATGGACCCTCTGGCTACTACCCACCTAAATGGAAAGCCCCTGGCCCGGCCAGCCTTGTGGACTATGTAACTCCTCCTCCTCCCCCTAGACGTCTTTCAAGTCTGTTCCCTCTCCAGTGTCCAGCTAGGTATGCCCTGCTTCTATGTCCTCTGCTCCCTTGATCTGTATATCTCGGACACTATCACACAGTTTAAATTACTACGGGTTCATAATAAATCACATTTAATTTTTCATGCATTCTTGACTCCATCTAATGTTTAATAATGATTATTTTCTATCTCCTTCCAGAACAATATATGAAAAATTTAAAACCCACAAGTCACTAATCTTCCTCTACACATTAAATTTTACAGTTCCAATCCTAGTTTCCTTATACTAGTTTGGAAGTAACATGCTCTTAATATTCGGGTAACAATTGTAAAAACAGAAACACACACACATACAATTAAAGTTTATCTCAGTGTATCTTATCTCAGACCTTTCCAAATGCAATCACTTTCCTTCTGCCTGAAAGTACATCCTTTAGAACTTTTGTCACTAGAACTGAAGGATGTATGCTTTCATATCTTTCATGGAAGATATTTTCAGTAGGGATGGAATACTATGCTGACAGCTCCTTTGAGAATATATTCTATTAACTGCTGATTTTCATCATTACCTTTGACAACAGAAATGCTGCACCATTCAAGGTCATCTTTTTCCTCTGGCTGCTTTCAAGTTTGTCTTTATTTTATTTCATTTCTCAATTTTATTCTGAGTCACGCAGATCTCTTTAAATCATCCTTCTTAGAATCTGGGCCTCCAGAATCTGTGGACTGGTGCCACATCGGTTCCAGAAAACTCTCAGCAAATACCACCTTTGATCTATTCTCTCTGCGACAGGTTAAAAACAGGCCCAATCTACTCACTGAGTCCTGTTTTTACCTCTTTCATATTTCCTATCATTCTTACTTTTCAGCCCCTTTTTCTCTGCTGCTAAAAATAATCTCTGAATTTCCAATTTTTGGTTATTGTATTTCATTTTTAGAGGTTCTATTAACCTACATGATTTGTTTTTTCTATGCAGATATGTAAGATTGCCTTATTTCTTTAAACATAAAAAAACATTCTAAAATTAGCATTTCCACTGGTTCTTGCCTGTTTTCTTATTTGGATTATATTTTATTATAAGCTGCTAACAGTTCCTGAAAAGTATGTGAGGATTCCTCAAGATCTAAGATGATGATGCCTTTGTCCAGAGACGACAGTGTTCATTTACTTCTAGTCTTTTAAATTGGCTACAACCTCTCAGGAACACATTCTCTTTTATACTCTGGACTCCACTCAAGTGCCCTGGGGTTCTCTAGGTGGTGTTTACTCCAGAAGTGAAACACTCCTGGATCCTAGATTACTAGTTTGTGGGGGGCTCTAGTATAATGGCCCCTAACCCTGAGGGGCTAGGCTCTGACTTCTGAATCAGCTCACAAGACTATCAAAACCACAGCTTGGTTCTCCAGGTCCGTTTCTCCTGGTGCAGACAGCAGCATACATGTGTAAAATCTGCACGTGGTACTTCACCCCCAGCACTCGGAAAGCATTCCATTCCCTTCTGCCTTCTGTTGCTCCTGAGGACTCATCCACCTGTTGTTCCTTTATAAGTAGTCTGTCCTTTCTCTCTAGTTGCTCTTATGATTTTGCTTTTTGGTGTTTTGCAGTTTTGAGTTTTCTTCAAGGCAATCTGCTCAGTTCTTACAGTTTACTATTTTCTTCAGCTGTCTTTAATTTGCAGTTTAACTGTTCATTTAGTTTATTTCAATTACTATTTTTTCACTTCTTGAAGTTTTAAGTATTCCATATCCTCATTTTTAAAAACAGTATCTCTTTTCATTATGGTTTCTGTTCCTTTTTCTAAAGTCTCTAGTCATTGTGAACATTTTTTGTGGTACATTATTTCCTCATGTGGCTATGAGCTCATCTTCTGTTCATGGGTTCTAAGTGCCCCTATAGGGGAGTCTTATTTTTGTTTTTGCCAGGAGTGATCAGGTTTATTTTAATTCTTCCAGACAAAGATTTGTGTGCAGAGTATAAACTCAATACACCTATGAGTATATTGGACTAAGATTCTCCAACAAGGAGGAAAAGCCCCAAGCCTGTACTTCACACACAAACTTTGCCACTTTCTTTGGTGAAGGTATTTGGTCCTGTTTTCACATTTTTCTAAAGTCCTAGACAAGTGTGTGCGTGCATGTGTTTCCAAGGGGATTCTCAGTTCTAGCTCCCCCACCTTGTGCAGTCACAACTCCTATCTCTGCTAAATGATAAAACTCAAGTCTGCAGCAACCCCTGAGCTTATCAATAACTTTCAATTCCCTCTTCTTTCCTGTAATCTGGAAATTTCCCTTTCTCAAGCCTGGCTTCTTTAAATGTTAGCTATATTTTGAACATCTCTAGGTACATGTGTGGGGAAGGTGAGGAAGGGAGATCTAGAATAACTGTGTCCTAAATGTGTGAGTCAAGAAAGTGTCAAGTCCTTACCCTCTGGGAGCATGTCATAGCTCAGGATGAACACATGTAAAAACTACCTGAAACCTGTATCATTCAAACATTTCAGTGAATCTGGTGCTTGCTAGGACTACAATGGAATCAAATTGTATTTGTCTCTAGAGACTTAGTCATCCAGGGATATCATTTTAACATGGAAAGAAACAACTGCTATGGAGGTAGGAGTTTCAAGACATCATCTGGGCTAAAAGTTGGAGACTTCAGGAAGGGGTGTATGTGACAAAGTGCATCACTGGAAGCACATGATTTGGAAAAACTGGCAGGAATGAAAAATATTTTGTAGCCAGAATGTGAAGGCTTTCAAAAAGACATATAAGGAGTCTGTATGTTACTCTGGAGAAAGAGAAGCCCCTGAAAAATTAAGCTGATACATGAAAAAACAAAAACAGATTGGCTTAATAGAAACACAACTTTGGCAGCTACAGATAGGATAGATTAAAAGAATCCAGGAAAAGAGGGAAACTAATGCCTGCTGTAAGAACCTAGGAGAGAGACAACAATATTTTTTGGCCTAAAGCACTAGGAAAGGATATTAAGAAAGGAAATAGTTAACACATTTTGGAGATACCAGTAGGAACCTGTGCTAAATTTAGAAAACAAAATAAAACAAACAAAAAACAGAAAGTCCAGTTAAATTTTTAGTATGTCTCATGCTATATTTAGAACATATTTGATGTTTTGTATTTTATTCTGGCAATTCTACCTGCAGTGAACACTCCATGAATATAACAGTGGGATTTGAAGAACAGGGAGGCAAAATGCCTAGGCATGAAAAAAGGGTTAAGACTCAATGAACGAGCACGGCTTGGTTGGCCAAGTTGAGACATGCTTACCTGCATTGTAACTAGTCTGTCATCCACCATTACCTCCTTTGTCAGAAAGTCTGCTCCTATTGTGGCTTTGTACTGATTACTGAATTTCTTGTTCACATACTGGTTCATGAGTGATGTCTTACCAACTCTGAAATTGGAGAAAAACCACAAGTATAAATCAACTAGAAAGGGAGTGACACTGATTGTGATACTTGCAGCCTTGAAGGAACCTGCCTATTGTGAAGAACGAGGAACTGAGCTCACAAGAGGGTAGACAGCAAAAATCCCAGCATTGCTCATTTGAGGTTGTACTTTCTCCTGGGATAAAAATCCAGGGTATAGATGTGGGCCACATGTTAAAAGTTGATATATACAGGGTGCCCTCCAAAAATGTATACACATTTAACAGCTGATAACTCAACTGATGTTTCTTTCTTTCAGATTTAACCCATTGGAATTAATAATTATTCAAAGTGTGTATACATTTCTTGGGGACAACCTGTACATATATTTTATTGGTTTTAAAGAGAGGAAAGGAGGGAGAGGGGGGAGGGAGGAGGAGAGAGAGAGAGAGAAAAGGGGGAGGAAGTGAGAGGGAGAGAGACACTGACGTAAGCGAGAAACATCAACTGGCTGCCTCCTACACATATGCTGACTGGGGATTGAGCCAGCAACCTAGGTATGTGCCCTGACCAGGAATTGAACCCACAACCTTTTGGTGTACAGGGACACCGCTTCAACCAACTGAGCCACACTGGCCTGGCCAGGGTGCTGTTTGTAAGTTTTGGTACTGACAATTCAGTAGGTAGAACTTTTGTTTTCCTTCCAGAAGGATGCCGGCAAATATTCCCCAAAATTCTCTCTGCTGTCTTGGGTGTCTCTCCATCTGACGGCTGCTATTCAGTCCAAAGGAAATAGCAAAAGAAAGCCTTTGGATTCGAGAGACACATACAACAGTCAGCCAACCTGCTGCTTCAAAGTATCAAATCTGAAACAGAAAAAGCACCAATATTCCACCATACCAGAATCTAACTCAAAGTATGCTCTTCCAGAGATGTTTTTCAGTAAGAAAATTAAGCAAGAGACGACGTGTGATTTTTCTGGTGATGAGGTTAGTTATGGCAGTCTGAATATAACACAAAAAAGCCTTCCTTGTGGTCAGTAACATCACTGTTCTTTCCCACAAAGAAGCACATTTGTTTTTTTATGCTGACGACCTGAAAGCACAGGCAGCGTTCTCCAACCCAGGCTACCAGAATCAGAATTTTCAGGGAAGCATTTGGAACCAAGGACTAGTGTTTCTTTTCAGGCAAGTCTGGGTAACACAGGCCTAAAAGAAGTACCTATCAGTCCTGACAGCACAGCAGAATCACCAGGAGAGTGGGTGGATGTGAGTGAGAAAGAAGGGGAGGGAGGGAAACACTGATTCTTGTATGTGTCCTGACTGGGGATCAAACCTGCAACCTTGGCAAATCTGGAAGATGACAATGCTCTAACCAACTGAGCAAGGCCAAATGCTAAGTTTTATTTATTTTTATTTAAATATGTCCTTATTGGTTTCAGAGAGAGGAAGGGAGAGGGAGATAGAAACATCAATGATAAGAGAGTCATTGATCAGCTGCCTCCTACACGCCCCCACTGGGGACTGAGCCAGCAACCTGGGCTTGTGCCCTGACTGGGAATCAAACCATGATCTCCTGGATCCTAGGTCAATGCTTAACCACGAAGCCATGCTGGCTGGGCCAAAAGCTAACTTTTAAATGGCTACTCAGGTAATTAAAAACAAACAAAAAAAACCCTTAAAAAAAAAAAAAAAAAAAAAAAGCTGGCCAGGCATGGCTTAGCATTTGAGCATCGACCTAGGATCCAGGAGATCACAGTTTGATTCCTGGTCAGGGCACATGCCCAGGCTGCAGGCTCAATCCCGTCAGGGGCCTGCAGGAGGCAGCCGACCAATGACAACTCTCCCATCATTGATGTTTCTATCTCTCTCCCCTCTCCCTTCCTCTCTCTGAAATCAATTGATATATTAAAAAAAAAAAAAAGTTAGTAGATGATCTTGGATCAGAACCCAGTTCCCTAGTCCTGGGCTCTTTCAAATATAGGCCTGAAATAGGCATAGCAGTAGGAGGATACTGCACAACATACCCCAAACCCACATGTATTATGCACAATGCCAACAGCAACAAACCTACATAAACGGGAGTCCCTAGTCTAACCAGCTTGGAAAAAAGGGATTCCATGAAACTATTATTAGCTGAGTGGCTATTATTAGCTCAATAACCACCCCTTTCCCCAAATCATGCCAAAAATCAGAGAGCACAGTGTTACATAACAAGGAATAAACCAAATACTACTGTGTCCCAAAGCAGGGAGGCTAGGGCACTGATGCCACTGCAATTAGAGAAGGAAGTGGCAATATCAGCATGGAGGGCACGGGTTCCAAGGAGGTGAAGTTTAAATCCAAGCCAATTTGTTAGCTCAAATTGATGTGAAACACTTACCCAGAATCTCCCAGAATGATAACCTTCAGCAACACTTTCTTCCTAGAGGTCATCCTTCAAACTGAAAGAAAAAAGCAAGCACTGTAAATGGGATGGAAACACCAAGGTAAACCACTTTCTTTGGCACCAACATCTAAATGCCCCAAAGGAACTGTGCGCCGAACTTCCTACTGGCCATTTTCCCTACTATCTAGTAGGTACTATAGACAGCAGCATCAGTCATTACAACTATGGACCTCACAGTTAGGGTAAAAGAGCATGACAGGGTCATCCTGCCCCTGAGAGTAGTCTGAGAGAATGCATTGTCCCACTTGGAAGTGGGATCAATTTGGATTCATGCAGCGACTTACAACCTCTTCCATCTCGTGGTACACATAAACTAATTACTAAAATTCTGTGGCACACCAAAAAATATGTTTTGCTGATCCGACCAAAACATAGGTGGAATTTTGATTCATTCACACCAGATGGCTGTTGTTGTGTTGGCTGCTGTTATTTTTATTCAACAATCTAAGGGAAAAGAGGTCAGTGCCCCTGACTAAATAGATATTACATGTTTTAGAGATTTCTTGCGGTACACCAGTTGAAAAATCACCGGATTAATGCTCCAATTTACTCAGCTATGTTCTACTTCCTCTGGGTCTCTGCTCAAATATCAATTCCTCGGAGAGATGATCACTGTATCTAAAGTAGCACACCCCTCCCTATTTGCTCTCTATCCCTTTATCCTGCCTCATTTTTCTTCAGAGCACTTACCACTACTTGACATTTTTATGTATCATGTTGTCTGTCTTCTCCCTCTTCTAATAATCTTCATGAAGACAGTTTTATTCCCCACCGTATCTCCAGTGCCAAGTAGGGAATTATTATCCAACAGGAGTGCATGAATAGTACCTAACTTTGAGGCTCTAGGAACCAGCTTTTTCCAGAAAAACTGTTAGGCAGCCCTCCCATACCCTTCATCAGACAGGTAATCTTTGCTTAATGCTCTTCCACAGCTGACCACACCATGATCTATTTTATTTATCAAGGCAAGGCCCCTCTTGTTATAATTACCTCTCAGTCCCTAGAGCCTGACTCAGTGACTTTCAGAAAATAAGTAGCTTTTAGAAAAGTAGCAGTCCTAAATTCTGGACGCCAACATGAGCGACTTATCTAAAGACTGTTAGAGGAGCACTCCTTCTCATACAGTTGGAATCCCCAATATAAGTCTTGTGCTCTCCTCCAGAATCTGGAATTCAACACTGAATGTGAGTGCCCTCAAAAATGGCATCTTACTCCTTCTGAAAACCCCTAGCTTTGGTCCATTAGTCTCAGTAGACACTGAAATAGCCAGGAGACTATGAGTAACAAAGTAACATTCAACTCCTGACTTCAGCAGAGCTGGGAAAAATAAGTGTGTCTACCTAAACAAATAGGTAAGGAGGTAGATCCAAAACAGCGAAAATGGGTCTCAGAAAAGCTAGTTTTCAGTTTCATCTTTAAACACCTAGCTTCCTGAAGGATGAGACTGATAGTTCTGTCTACAGTGGGAGTAACTTCATCATGAAATTCAGATCCCAGACTACCGAAATTTTTATTCTTGCTTTGCTACCTGTTATTAGCTGTATGCCCTTAGGCAAGTCATATAACCTCTCTGTTGGGATAGGGATATGGGAATAATAATAGCAGTAGTAGTAGTAGTAATAATAATAATAATAATCATAATAATGATGATGATGATGTGAGGTCTGAATGAATAAAACACTCAGGAGAGTGACTAAAATATAGTGGCTGGTAAATGTTGACTGCTATCATTTTAATGTGTGCCAAATACAGAGATGAATAAATAACCAAACAGAGTACAGGGGTAATAAGAGAACTAGTATGTCACAGAGCATAGGCAAGGTAATTAAGCTACACTCTGCTGTTTCCAGATGCTTGCCTGTCAACTGTTCTTTTTCAAAAGGTGGTATTGCACCAAAGACCACAAACTGAAAGGAAATATTAGACCTGACTACTGCTCCACAGAACAGGATTAGAAAACAAGCACCATGCTACTAATAGTGGCATTTTCCATGGCTTCAGAAACAGTGTGGGAACGGGCCCAGACTAGAAGCAATTTATTAGGCATTTAAACCAGGCCCCATTACCTATACCTCTAGGTTCAAGCTGTCTCAGTGCCCAAAGCCTCATGCCCAGGGCTGGTCTATGAAGATACCATATCTTAGTGCCCCAGTATTTGTCTACAAAGCTCCCACTTGTGCTACTTGGAAGGTAGTATAAGATGACGATGAGTTGTGCAAAGCCCGTTTCCTTTAGGCTTCCATCATATCTAGGTTTTTTTGTTTTTCCTGTCAGCATACCTCAGAGATATTGCATGTCCAGTTCCAGACCACCACAATACAGTGAACATCGCAACAAAGGGAGTCACGCCAATTTTTGGTTTCCCGGTGAATATAAAAGTTATGTTTTCAATATACTGTATAGTCTAGAACTGTGCCAGAGCATGTCTAAAAAAGTGTATATACCTTAGTTAAAAATATTTTACTGCTTAAAAATCATCATCTGAACCTTCAGTGAATCATAATCTTTTTGCTGATGAAGGTCTTGCCTCAGTGTTGGTGGCTGATGACTGATCAGGGTGGCTATTGCCGAAAGTTGGGGTGGTTGTAGCAATTTCTTAAAATAGGACAACAATGAAATTTCCTGCATTAACTGACTCTTCTTTTCATGAATGATCTCTCTGTAGCATGTGATGGTGTTTGATGACATTTTACCCACAGGAGAACTTTCAAAATTGGAGTCAGTCCTCTCAAACCCTGCTTCTGCTTTATCAACTCAGTTTATGTTATTCTAAATCCTTTGTTGTCATTTCAACACTCTTCACAGCATCTTCACCAGGAGTACGTTCCATCTCAAGAAACCACTTTCCTTGCTGATCCATAACAAGCAACTCCTCATCCACTCAAGTTTTATGAGATTGCAGAATTCAGTCACATCTTCAGACTCCACTTGTAATTCTAGTTCTCTTGCTGTTTCTACTACATTTACAGTCACTTCCTTGACTGGAGTCTTAGACCTCTCAAAGTCATCCATGAGGGTTGGAATTAACTTCTTCCAAATTCCTGTTAATGTTGATATTTTGACCTCGTCCCATGAATCATAAATTTTCTCCATGAAATCTAGAATGGTGACTCCTTTCAAGAAGGTTTTCAATTTACTTTGCCCAGATCCACAAGAGAAATCACTACCTATGGCAGTAATAAGACTTGAAGTTAAATGGATGCTGTGTTAGCAGACATGAAAACAACATTAATCCCATACATCTCCTTGGGTGACCAGCTGCATTGTCAATGAGCAGTAATATTTAGAAAGGAATCTTTTTTTAAGAGCAGCAGGTCTCAACAGTAGGCTTAAAGTGTTCAGTAAACCATACTGCAAGCAGATGTGCTGTCATCCAGGTTTTTTTGTTCCATTTATAGAAGAGAGGAGTAGATTTAGCATAATCTTAAGGGCCCTGGGATTTTTACAATGGTAAGTGAGCATTGGCTTCAACTTTACATCATCAGCTGCATTAACCCCTAATAACAAGAGTCAAGCTGTCCTTTGAAGCTTTGAAGCCAGGCACTGACTTCTCCTCTTGCCATCAAAGTCCTAAATGGCTTCTTCTTCCAATATAAGGATGTTTAACCTACAATGAATATCTGTTGTTTAGTGTAGCCACCTTCATTATCTTAGCTAGATCTTCTGGATAACTAGCTGCAGCTTCTACATTGGAACTTGCTGCTCCAACTTGCACCTTTATGTTATGGAAATGGCTTCTTTCCTTAAACCTTGCTGACCAATCTCTGCTAGCTTCAAACTTATTTTCTGCAGTTTTCTCACCTCTCAGTCTTCACAGAATTGCTCTGAATTAGGCTTTGCCTTAAGGGAATGTTACAGCTGGTCTGATGATCTATCCAGACCACTAAAACTGTTGCCATACCAGCAATAAGTCTGTTTTGTCTTTTTATCATTCATGTGTTCACTGTAGTACAACTTTTAATCTTCTTCAAGAACTTTTTCTTTGTTTGCATTCACAACTTGGCTAACTGGCATAAGAGGCCAGGCTTTCAACCTAACTCACCTTTTAGACATTCCTTCCTCACTGAGCTTAATCATTTCTAGCTTTTGATTAAAAGTGAGAGACATGTGACATTTTCTTTCACTTGAATATTTAGAGGCTATTGTAGGGTTATTAATTGGCCTAATTTCAATATTGTTGTATCTTAGGGAATAGGGAGGCCCAAGGAGAAGGAAAGGTGGGGGAATAGCTGGTTGCTGGAGCAGTAAGAACAAACAATAATTATCGATTACATTTACCATCTTATATGGGCACATTTTGTAGTGCCCCACCCCGAACAACATCCCAATTACAATATTAACATCAAAAGGTCACTGATCACAGATCACTGTAACAAATACGATAATGATGAAAAAATCTGAAATATTGGGAGAATTACCAATATGTAAGAGACTGAAGTGAACAAATGATGTTGGAAAAATTACGCTGATAGACTTGCTCAAAGCATGGTTACCACAAACCTTAAATTTGTAACAAACAAACCCCACAATATCTGCAAAGCACAATAAAATGAGGTATGAGTTTATATTCCAAACTACCTGTTATCTGTGGAGTCTCACAGCCCCATCCCCCTCTCCAGGGACTGCCTTGACCAAGGTTTAAGAGTCTTATCCCAAGGTCTGGTACCGTATTTTGGACTAGAGATCAGAATATGCTTGGGTCAAATTTCTAATCCAAAGAAGGGCAAATTAAGGAAAGGAATAAACAGAAGATGAGAAGCTTTGCAAAGAAATTCTTGAAGAATATTTAAGAAAGTCATTAATTTTGAGAATAGGAAAAAGCATTTCTGTAATTTGGCTTAGTAAGTTTCACTTGTATAACAAGTACTATTTAATAATAATAGAAAGAAAACAAAGCAAACAAGGAAAACACAAGCTCCCTAGTTCTGCATGACAGATTTCATGTTTGTTTCCTTTTTCCTTTTTACTCACACAGGCTGCAGGCTTGTCTGTGGC